CCTCATCCCGGTAAAAATGCCTCATATAAGGTTGATTATGCACATATTTCTGGATAAGATGGTACAATATCAAAATATGATGTACAGTTGACCAACCTTCTCTAAAGCCAGCTTGTTTGTCCTCTAAAATTTCCTTAGATTCTATCCAAGCTTAGACTTTATTACTCAGGTGCTTTGCATATAATTTGCTTAGGACATGTAGTAAGGTGATAGGTTTATGATTAGTGAGGTTTTCCTCATTAACTTTCTTGTAAATAGGGGCGTTTATTGCTACCCCATTTCTTAAGCATCTTTCCTATTGTAATTAGGGTCAGTATACAAAGCTTTATAATATGGTTCCCAAGCTTGAACAGGGACCCAATTGGCCCTGGGCAGAAATTCACCAAAACGAAGAAGTATTCCTTTGCTTGACAGAAAGGATGAGTTGATGCCATGCATAGCCTTCAGCTTCTTCTCCCTAAGGATTAATTTATATTGTGATTTGAGGTCATACATAATTTGATAAGTGGCCTCAGAGGGATAACATTTGTAAACAACATAGATGGCCTTAAATTTCCTTGTGAGCAGCTGACATTCCTAATCAAATCATTGTTGATCTTAGCTGTACAGGTAAAGGGGGTAGTTCCTCTTGAATTAAATTTGCTGATTAACCAGGCATACAACTCCATCTGGAGCTCCTGTGGGTAACTGGAAATTAAAGTTGAGCAAATTTCTAAAACATCTTTGACTTCAGTCATTGAGTTACAGAGTTACATTTCTTTTATTCCACCTGGGTCAGGTAGAGTGTGCCCTCTGAAAAGCCACTCTGAAGTGTGTCAAGTCAAATGTGGGAAAGTGAATGGGAAAAGAAGAACTTAAAATTCCTGTGAATTTGCTTTAGTAACCTTATTTAGAATCAAAGCCATGTGTTTTGGTTATGGCAAATCACAAGTAAAAATGCGTAACACTAAATTAAAATTGAATTATTTATATTTTATAATTGTTCTCTAACTCTTACAGGGCCTGAAAACCCTTGGCTGGTACAAGCGTACATCTCTGCTGCTAAGCACCCTTTTGGTTCTATCGTGGCTCAAGAGGTATTTCAGAGTGGTATTATCCCCGCAGAAACAGATTTCCGTATTTACAGAGATTTTGGCAATGTTCCAGGTTTGTTGGATAGTTTTAGCAGGATCTGTATTTGGGCCTATACTTGGATGCACAGTGCAAAGTAGGTAGGAGGATTGTCAAGCCAATAAAAGAAAGGAAAAGCTTGTGATATGGAGCTGTCCAGTATTGTATTTGTCTAATGTTGATGTACACATTGCAGATTTTCTGAACCAAAAACAATAAACTCCAGCACAATCATATGCAGGAGAAATTTCTCCTTTATGATTTCGTTTAATGATGGAGACCAGATCACTGTTCAATAAAAGCAAGGTTGCATTTATTTCAGTACTGGAGGCTGCAGTAGCAAGCCCAAAAAGGTGTGGGGATGCAACCCCTTTATACAGGTTTATGCTAATCAAAGCATCATTACAATCCATGAGTTCAGAGGTAGTGAGGCAACAAAGATGAGATTACAAAGACAATGGTTTTATTAAGAATACAGAGACTATATGTTAAAATAAAAGTTACGATTTGATGTTTCTATCCCCATTACCTTCTTTGCCCTTGCTTCCCATTGCCTGCCTGCCCACCTCCCTCCCTCCCTCCCTCCCTCCTTTGCCTTCTAAGTATTTTTATGGCTGAATTGGCACTTTTCTTGCCCAGGAAAGATGACTGGTGAGGGGAATTGATCTCCTTTAGCTTGGCTAACACCATTTTCTCCTTCAAGTATTGTGACAGTTGAAATATTGATTATCATTGCAACTTTGGACATATGTTACCCTTTCTTACAGAAACCTGTATCTAGAAGTCACTGTCAAAGCAGGGTTTTTTTTTTTGTTTGTTTGTTTTTTTGCTGTATCCTAACTACTGCATTTGCACAGCACACTAATCCATAACCCACGGTTTACAAATCACAATGGCTGAGTTGGAATAACAAGTTAATCCAAATCAATATTAATAGATGGCATTTCCCAAACAATTTCATTAAGAGTGGCAGATTCCTATTGTGCCATACATATGCTGACACAAATGGTAGAACTTTAGCCTGTGACTTAATACAATGTATGAATCTGTCTTTTAAGAAAAACACACCATTTGGGAAAAAACAAACATATATTTTAAGTGATACTTTGGTTCTTTTACTTTAGTTTGTTTCAGTGAAGGATTTGTCATGGCTTTTACTGGCGCACAATATGAAATCCTTGTTGGTTCAGACTTTAGTGTTATTTAACCTATACGTTAAAATCTGTAAAAACAGAATCCAAATTGCTGCACCAAAGAAAAGGCTAAAGTTCTACCATTTGTGTCAGCACATGTATGGCACAATAGGAATCTGCCACTCTTAATGAAATTGTTTGGGAAATGCCATCTATTAAATTAATAAAGAAGTAGATTGTTTATCAGACACATTGAAACATTTCAGAAAAGCATTGCTATACAGTTCTTTATTATCCTGCTTGATAAATCAACATTAACTCAGAATGCACTGGCCCAGCCGTAACGGGGGCCTATGTTTATATACAGGGGAGATTCTCCATGTCCACGCCATCATGTGAGACAGCAAGAAAGAATAGCATAAATTATAAACGCACAACCAAAATTATGAAGCTGTGGGCAAATACTGAAATATGACTGTTTAGTAGAACAGTTCATAAATATTTAGTTATTGTTAAGATTATTTATAAATACATTAATTTAGTTAGGAATACTTTGTAAATTTAAATTAAATAACATTATGATTTAATGTAATTATACCGATAGGAATAGACCTGGCTTTCATTGAAAATGGTTACATCTATCATACAAAATATGACACGGCGGATCGAATTTTGACAGATTCTATTCAGAGAGCAGGTTAGTATTCAAAGTTTCTCATTACTTTTAACAGCAAGGCAAGATTAAATCATTGTTTTCCATATGGGTTAATAATGAAGATTGAAACTCATAGGCCCAAAGTCTCAGTACCCTAAAGATAATAAAGCTTTGAGAATAAAAAGTTCATTGATAAATATAACCAAGTAAATTGACTTTGTTCCTCCTATATTAAAAAGTCTGGGTAAAGTAAATTGATTTTAATTACTAAAGAAAATTTAGATATCACAGCCTAGTTTTATACACTTTTCCTTGAATTTTTCCCTGGTTACAACTTACCTACTTATTTATCATTCTTGGCCCTGCAGTTCACATAGGAACACCAAATTATTTTTCTATTTATTTTAAGGTTACATAACTATATTTTAAAAACTCAGGCCTTCAGTATATTGAATTTTGTCCTGCCCATTTACTATTTCCCTTCCATTTTTTATTTGTTTTAAGAAGTAAATAATTTCAAATTCCAATTGTTTCATGATATAATATTCTTAATGAAATGCTTTGGAAAAGACAGATCCTTAATGTATGCCATTTTTTTTCCTAAGGTGACAATATTTTAGCCGTGCTAAAATACTTAGCAAAGTCAGATATACTAAGCAAATCTCATGAGTATCGACATGGAAATATTGTCTACTTTGATTTTCTTGGCATGTTTGTTATGGCTTACCCAGCTCGCATTGGTGTCATTATGAACTGTGTCATTGTGTCACTTGCCACGCTTTATTTAGGAAAAAAAGTTCTGCAACCAAGAAAAAGAGGTAAGTTCACTTCATGTTCTGTCACAGAAAGACATACCCGTCATACTGTTCTGTTTAAGGGTAAGCAACCTTATATAAAATACAAAGAAAAAGTAGGAAGCAAAATACATTAGAAACAGGAGTTTAAAAAGAATATCTAATTAACCCTAGTTTACATACTGTGGCATATGGATTTTGTGACCTGGCAGGGCTGCTGTTTTGCTGGTGTAAGCCAGACATTGGAGTGAGGAAAAAGAGAAAAAAGAAAGGCTCACTTTTGGCTTTAAAGGGCAGCTATGCTGTCACAATGCCTGAAGAGCTGACCTGGCTGCTAGCCAGGGCTGGTGTGGGGAGATTTTGAGCCAGCAGTCCCATTAGGGCAACAAGGTATATAGATGTTGGGGACTAGAGCCTGGGGGGACACCCACCTCCTCAGTTGCCACAGGACAGAACCAAAAGTTGGAAAGAGAGGGAGAGAGAGAGGAATAGAGAGAAGGAAAGGAGAGTAAAAGTTTGTAGCTGGAGTGAGCAGAGATGCTGTAGAGAGAAGGCTGGAGAGAAGTTGAACTGAAGTGTGTAGGGCAAGTGTTGGTTCCTGTTTGGGGAGAGGAGAAGAACAGTCCAGGGGTGGTTTCCCTGGAAGTCAGGAAGCAAAGACTCAGAGAGACAAGCTCCACCCAAGAAGTTGGAGAGCTGTGAGGGATCCAGCTTGTTGCAGGTGGCGGCTTCACCCAAGACCCTAGAGGGCACAGAGGGAACCAGCTGCTGGTAAGGAAGTCCTGGTTTTGGGGAAAAGTAGGCAGAAGACCCTGAGGGGGGTTCACAATGCCTCTCCAAACCTTATTCTTTCAAATCATCCTTTCTTCCATTACACCCATATCACAATTCATACATTTCTCAGAGCTTTACAATTTAGTTTCTGCGTCTGTACCTCCACCAGAAGAAGCCAACAAAAGAAGCTACTTCAGAATTGTAAACAGTAGCCTAGGGAGAGCTAAAGAAAAGTTAAGAACTATGTTTGAAAACCCATGAAAAAGAAACCAAGACATTTGAGCTATGCTTATGAGTTCCTTTCATCAACTAAGCCTTTATGCATTTTCCCTGTCAGTTGTTTAGCATGAAGATGTGTGAAGTTAGGATTGCCTAAGTTTCTGGAATAGGTGGGAGCAAGGATATAATGGTACATGCACAGAAGTTCAGTCTGTTAGTCCCAAGACCCTATACAGAGAATGTTAAAAGAGTGTCCACAAAGTCAGTCAGGGACACAGTTTGCCCAAATCAATATGTCTTACTGTATAGTCATTGGGCTGTAATAATCATTGCCTTTCTTTCTCAGCACATAACCATGATACAATGATTCTGATGACATGAAATACTTCTTGGTCTACAGTACATGCTACTCAGTGAGGAAATGTACCTTATAGAGTAGGAGAAAAATATTAAGTTCTGAGTTGAGGGACATGGGACCAAACAAAATGAGCATTCTGCTGGTTTTAGCAGTTTCTTCCATAAAGGAGTGAAAGCCTTGCTGTGTTGGAATTAAGTCAGATCAGAAATACTATAAGTAGAATGTAAATAGGAAAAAGATGGGGGGAAATAACTCACAACTCAGTCCTGAAAGGAAAAAGCCTTGTGGGTTTTTGTGCCATTTTCATTTTAATGAAATCATCAAGAACCATGTCTTCTTACTACTTTAGATCCACCTAAAAGAAATAGTACAGTATTAGTCAGATTTTAATATCTTTTTCCTTTTCTTTCAGCAATTAATTATCTGAAGGAATTTGCCATTGCTTTAGGCTTTTCAATACTTAGTTGGTTTGTCACCTTAATTGGTGTCCTTCTTGTAGCAGTGTTTATTTGTCTTATTGGACGATCTCTTTGCTGGTACACCCACTACTATGTCTCCTATTTTCTCTACGGATCTGCAGCTCTGGCTGTACTGATTCTTGTGCATACATTAGCCAAGAAATGTTATTATAAAGTAAGTACTATTATGTTTTATTACATGACTGACCATAGTAGTTATTATTTTCCCTTACCTCAATATAAATATAAAGATTCTGTTAGATGAGTCAGACTGCCTAGCTCAATATAACTTTTCTCTAGGCAGCTGTCTGTCTCAACTTCTCTTATCTGATCCTTTTAAATTAAAAAATGCTTTAAATTGCTTAATGAAGCAAAATTTCTAGGTAGACTTCACTATAACAGACTAGGCACTTCTCAGGCTGTGTGAACTCCAGATCATTTTAATAGTTAAATAGACCTTTTAGAAGTTGGGCTATCAGAAGCCAGGGATAAAATGGTGATATTTGACAGGATGATGCTGACTCTTTCTTAACAATTGAAAGCCTAAAATAGCTGTTTTAAACTTCTAGTAGATCCACACTTGTCCAAAAATGTGATAAAATTTTGCTTTAGAAAGCTGTCTTTCCCTGTTCTCCTAGATTGTTCTTCATACTTACTATAGCTCTGCTTTTTCAAAGACTTCCTTTTGCATCCCTCATATTTGTAGTCAGAAGTAGTAGGCAATTCCTGGTTGGCATGGTTCTTGTTTCCACAGGAAGTGGGACTTCCTATATATGTCTACTCAGAAGCAATTTTCTGCTCTTAAAATGCTTGATACGTTGTCCCCAAATTTAAATGAAAGAGGATTTACATTTTTATTTTGTTTTTCTTTTCCCAGCATACAAATGAACAGTTGCTAGGAGAGATCTTCTTTGATGTTCCAGTTGTATTTTGGTCTATTTCAGTGGCTCTACTTACTTACCTGGGAATTTCTTCTGCATTTGTTAGTGCAATATGGGTAGCATTTCCACTTTTCACAAAACTAATTACCTATAAGGAATTGAAAGAAAAAGGTATGACAACAATGCTTATCGTCATAGGTTCTGGTAAAGCAGGGGTAGGCATCTTTGCAGCCAAGGCTATATTTTTATAGCCTCTGAGAGCTGGGGATGTAAATGGTGATAGTATGATGACTTCAGTCTGGGTAAGACCAACTTTTTCAGCACTTTTTGGAATGCTTACAGCATCTATTTTGCCCCTTAAACCTCCCAATCCAGAAGGCCCTCTCCATGGGAATTATTGGCCCAATTTTGGCAGGTTTGGGTTTTTTTAATGAGAACCTTGAATTATCTTTGTTCCCTTCTTCCACATGATTACTGGTCTCTGTCCCTGTATCTTTGTTACTTTAACTTAAAGAAGGCATAAACAGACTTGCCCTGGCCTGTTGTGCCTCTGTCTTGGATATGCATGCCTTGATGTGCAGACTTGCACAAGTAGCTAATTTTTTTTTAATGACTCTACTAGACCTATGTTGATTCATATTGCCAGAAAATCTGGTTGATCTGCTTTTTAAACTACTGTGATTGGTGGGTATGTAAAATTAGTTTACTTGTTTTGTAAGAAAATCTCAATCACTAATAGATCTATGCTGATTTATATTGACACAAAATCTGGTTGACCTGCTTTTTAAGCCATTGTTTAAATGGTTTGGTGATCTTACCTGTTTCATAAGAAAATCACAGTATGTTTGCCTTCAGACAGGTTAGATTTATACTTCCACTAGACAACCTGTGACCTGTTGGGTTATCGTTTCAGAGTTATTTCCTTACCTAAACAGAGAAACCAAGGGCAAAAAAGCAGTGGGTGTAGGAGTGACTCGTGACTTGCTGCTGGCTTCCCCATTGATTTTGTTGTGGGAAGCTGGCAGGGAGTGTCAGAAATCTTCCTTCCTTCCTTCCTTCCTTCCTTCCT